AAGATTCACGAAAGCGCCCACGGCCTAATCGACCTTGGTCTGAGCAACGCTGGCTACAATTTTGTTACAGTCGACTGTGGCTGGAACGCCCATGATCGAGATGAAGAGGGAAGACTTCAATGGAACGAGACCCTCTTCCCATCTGGTGGCAAGGCACTTGGGGATTATCTCCATGACCTAGGACTGGACTTTGGCCTTTACTCTGGCGCTGGGTATCTACAGTGTGGGTCAGAATCGCTACCTGCGAGTCTGGGATACGAACAACTAGATGCGGAGAGTTTCGCTCAGTGGGGAGGAGATAGCCTCAAGTATGATCACGAGCATCATCAACACGCTTTCCCCCTTGCTAACGGTATGCAGGTACGACAACTGCTACTCTACTTCCAACACAACGATGGTCGACTCTAGCTCCGCAGAAGCTCAATCACCAGCACGTTTCCAACACATGGCGGCCGAATTAGATGCGGTAGACCGCGACATACACTACTACGTCTGCCAGTGGGGAATTGGCACAGATGTCGGCGACTGGGCTGCTGAGGTTGGCAACACCTGGCGAATCAGCAACGACATCTACAATGGCTGGCGCAGCATCTGGCGCATCACCAATCAGGTCGTGCCATACTTCAGGCACACCACTGCTGGTGCCTTTGCAGACATGGACATGCTGACGTAAGTACAGTACGCTGTATCTCGAGTCGTCAACTGACAAGTCTAGCGTGGGCCTCAATGCCCTTTCCGAAGAGGAAGAGCGCTTCCACTTTGGCATGTGGGCTATCAACAAGTCTCCTCTCATTATCGGCGCCGCCCTCGATCCCGAACGCATCAGCCAGAGCTCTTTAGACATCCTCTCGAACAAGGAAGTCATTGCCATCAATCAAGACCCACTTGCCCAGCAAGCCATGCTGGTCCGTCGCGATACCGAAAACGAGTGGGATATCTGGATGGGGAAACTCTCGGGATCAAAGCAGGTGTTGGGAGTCGCGAATTGGAAGAACGACTCCCAAGCCGTAGACTTTGATCTGGCAACACTGGGCATAGCTTCGGCTGATGTGCGCGATGTCTGGGCTGCGAAAGATCTTGGTACCTTGTCTGGTGCCCAGACGGCTGACTTGGCCGGACATGAGCTGCGACTATGGGTTCTATCCAACATCGTCGCAGCCGCCCCTCTCACCTCCGACTCGTACCATTCCGCTGTTAATGCGTCGCTTTCCGGACCAGCACACAACTTCTCCTGCGCGTCCGGCGCATGCCTTCCCACTGGCTCGAAGATTGAGTACATCGGCCGCGCCAGCAGCGTCATGTTTGCCAACGTCAGCTCTCAGTCCACTGGCAAGAACCTCATGGGTATCGACTTCGTCAACTACCACTATGCATTTACCACTGCATGGGAATGGGGCGACAACACCCGTAACATGACGATCGCAGTCAATGGTGCTGAGGCGAAGCGATGGGCCTTCCCTCTCTCTGGTGGCGACTGGGAAGAGAGTCTGCGGCTGCAGATAGAGCTTGATGGCTTTGTGGAAGGTACAGAGAACATGATTGAGTTCCGAGGGTACGGAGACAGTTTTGGGCCGGATCTTGTAGGCTTTCAGATCCTGAACAGCGCTTAGAGTTTCCGCTTGGGTAGATATTTTTTGTTTTGGTAGAATCCATGTGATTTTTACCTAGGTGTAATCTACATGCTTTCTCCTTAAGTATAAACTACGATTTCCACTTAGGTATAAACCATGCTTTGTACTTAGGTATAAACTACATGCTTTTTACTTAGGTATAAACTATACTTCGTCCTTAGGTATAAACTATGTTTTTTACTTAGGTATAAACTGCGCTTTTTACCTAGGTATAAACTATTAAGGTGTGCTTTCTACTTAGGTGTATATTATGCTTTCTTTCTAGGTACAAAGCACACACTATTTACCTAAGGATTAACTACACTTTTTACCCAGCTCTGTAGTTTTTACCCAAGTCTGCCGTTTTTACCTAACTCTATCCTTCTTACCCAACCCTGTACTTTATACCTAACTTCGTACTTTTTACCCAACTCTGTACTTTACACCTAACGCTGCGAGTCTGCGGAAGAGGTGGATGCGAGAGGATGTGACGCAGGCGCATCGTCGCGGCGGGATAAATCGGCCTCTGATGTACATCCGTAAGTATGGCCGTGCCTACGCTTGTGTTGAACGAAGGAAGCTCCGTAGTCGTTGATCAGCGGTTCACCCAAGCATCTTGAGGGGCAGGTACCCCGCATGTGTTTACCCGCGGGTGAACAACCACCGAACGTCCATCATTTAGCTGTCACATCGGTCAAGCTCATCGCTAGTCTACAACTAACGGACAAGATGACGCCTGTTCCGTATACCTCATCGTCGCTAACCACGGGTTGGACGTTCAAGCAGGGCGACCGTTCATCGACCAACGAGTACCTACCGGCTTGCGATGCACCAACTGAAGTCTATCGCGACTTACTCAAACACAACAAGATCCCAGATCCCTTTCATGACCTCAATGAGCTAGCAGTGCGTTGGGTTGGCGATGAGACATGGACATATCGCACGACCTTTGCTGCGCCTTCCGATTATGGGAAGGCGAACGCGGCCACCACCCTTCGATTCGAAGGTCTCGATACCTTCGCTACAGTTTACCTGAACGGAGAGATCATTCTGGAATCCGACAACATGTTCATCGAGCATCAGATCGACGTCTCAGGCAAGCTTCAGGCTGAGGACAACGTACTCGAAATCGTCTTTGAGTCGGCGCGCAAGAAGGGTCTCGAGTTGGTGGAACAGCATCCAGAACACCGCTTCATCGTACACCAGACAGAAATCTCGCGAGGACCTGTTCGCAAAGCCCAGTACCACTGGGGTTGGGATTGGGGACCTATCCTAATGACATGTGGGCCTTGGAAGCCAGTATCGATTGAGACGTGGGAATGCCGCCTATCAGACCTAAATGTGCAATACGAATTGTCGCAGGACTTGAAGTCCGCAAAATTGAAGATGAGTGTCGAATGGGAGGGTAAGACCACGGGTATATTATTCATGATCTCGAAGGACGGAGAAGACATTGACGGTATACGGACCACCATCAATAACCGCAAGAGTCCCCTGGAAACTACTATCACCATGGAAAACATCGAGCTCTGGTGGCCACGAGGCTATGGGCAACAGAGTCTTTACACCATTAGAGCAGAAGCCATTGTGCAGGGTGTCCCGGACCCAATTCACCTCATATCGAAGCAGTTTGGCTTCCGCCGCACTAAGCTTATCAAAGAACCAGACGCACGCGGCACCTCTTTCTACTTCCGCATCAACGATGTCGACATCTTTTGCGGAGGCTCGTGTTGGATACCCGCCGACTCGTTTCTCACACGGCTCAAACCAAACGACTACCGCGAGTGGGTGAAGCTTGCCGCCGATGGCAATCAAACCATGCTAAGGATCTGGGGAGGCGGTATCTACGAAGCGGATGCGCTATACAATGCCGCTGATGAATTTGGCGTGTTGATATGGCAAGACTTCATGTTCGCATGTGCCAACTACCCAACCTACCCCGAGTACTTGAAAAGTGTGGAGATCGAAGCAAGACAGAATGTTAGACGGCTGAGAAACCATCCCAGCCTAGTGGTGTGGGCAGGTAACAACGAAGACTATCAGATCGTCGAACGATACAAACTACAGTACGACCCTGACGACAAAGATCCGGAATCCTGGCTCAAGACCGACTTCCCAGCCCGCTACATCTACGAGCATCTTCTGCCAAAGGTGATTGCAGAAGAATGTTCAAACATACCCTACCACCCCAGCTCGCCTTTCGGTGATGGCAAGTCGACGGTCCTAGGAGTGGATCCTACGATCGGCGATATCCACCAGTGGAATATGTGGCACGGTACCATGGAGCCATACCAACGCCTGCCACAGATGGGCGGCCGCTTCGTATCCGAATTCGGAATGGAAGCATATCCTCATGTTTCCACACTTGAGATGTGCATCAACGATCAGCACGACCTCCACCCTGGCTCGATGGCCATGGACTTCCGCAACAAAGCCATTGGTCATGAGCGACGTCTCATCAGCTACGTATCTGAGAACTTCCGGGTTCAGTACCTGCTGAAAGGGTATACGCATCTCACCCAGGTGATTCAAGCGGATGCGATGTCGTGGGCTTACAAGTCCTGGCGCCGTCAATGGGGATCGGCTGGCAATCGCAAGTGTGGCGGTGCGTTGGTGTGGCAGCTGAACGACTGTTGGCCGACGATGTCATGGGCTGTGGTGGACTATTACAAGGTACCAAAGCCAGCGTACTATGCTATCAAGCGCGCCATGCAGCCCATCACTATCGGCGTTCAACGCAAGTACCAAAGCTGGACTATGCGGCCGGCTGACCGGCTGTGGCAGCGCGACACTGGGCACATCGATATGCACAAGCTGTGGCAGGACGTCGAATACGATCTCTGGGTCTCTAATAGTACACTGAAAGAGATGGAAGTCGATGTTTCGATCCGCTACATCTCAATCGGCACAGGAAAGGACATCGGCACTGGAGAGCACAAGAAGACACGCATTGCGGCCAATGGAACAAACGACATACTCACTGGCCAAGTCGTCAAAGTCGATGACCCACAAGAGCCGGGTGGACCTTTTCGTACATCAAGGGTCGACCCTTTCGTCATCCATGTGTCGTTGTACAGGAATGGTCAGCTTCTCGCTAGCGACGTATCCTGGCCAGAGCCCATCAAGTATCTCACTTTTGACAACCCAGGCGTACATGTGCGCTATTCGGAAGATAAGAAGACAGTGTTCGTTTCTTCAGCGAAGCCAGTCAAGGGCTTTGTGTTCGATGAGGGCACTGAACGCCGTCTGAGTGACAATGGGTTTGACCTGGTACCAGGGGAGACGAAAGAGATACAGGTGGAGGGGTTACCGGCGACGATGCTGAAATGGAGATATGTTGAGATGTGAAAGCTATGATCTGGTCCATTGTACTTCAGTTCAGCTAGTCCCTCATGATGCATCCCAAAAGCTATCTTCGGAATCGCTGTCCTCATCTGCAGAATCGACAGGCCTCTCGCTGACTTTCCAGAATGCTGTCGGTCCGGCAGGGCCATGACTAATGTGTATTCAAAGTTAGCGCGTGTCTCACATCAGTCCGCACATAGCCATCACTTACGCATCGAAATCCTTGTCAAACCACGTTCCCACAACACCACGTGGGCAGCGCAACCCACCAACTTGAATGCCATCGCTGCGCCATCGCTCCTCACCGCTGTCGCAAAGTCAGTAATACTCTGCTCATTGTATGCCCACAACTCTGCGTACTTACCCTTGAAACACCGAGATAGTCTGCCAGCGAACCTCTCCTTCCGCTGTCAGACTGACAGTACCGCGAATACCAGAGTTGGCATTTGGATCCCAATGCGCGTCTACCGACTTCGATTTGCCTCTGAAATGCACAATGGGTAGCTTTGGGTTGTCGAAAGGCCCTGGTGCTGTGACGTCTGTGATGCGCAAGTCCATGATGATGTGTCTGATGGCTTCATCAGTGTTGAGTGCGTCTCTCGGCTCGTCGGAGGGAACTTTCATCGCCTCGGTGCTGAAGTTGTAGTGGTACAAGTCGTTGTAATCGAGGAAACATACGATCTAGATGTCGTTAGAGAGACTTTGAGTGCTCGGGCGAACAAAAACTTACACGTGACCAGATACCTTCCACTCCGTATGGATCCTTCATGTTGAGCGAAATGTCCGGTTGCTGTACCAACGCCGTATAGTTCCGTGCGGCGCCCATCTGATGGTCGTCTTCTGGAATCACACCATCAAGTGGAGCGAACCATGGTGGCCGGAGTTTGTTCGATACGGTATGGGTGCAGTAGCAAGAGTTGTAGCCGATGACAATCATGATGCTTTCGATCATCTCCCAATCCACTCGCATGGTGCCATCGTCGCGGAAAGGGCCCCACTCATTGTTGTCGGTGTAGTTTCGTAGGTCGTATACACGCGATCTGGCATATGGGTTGGTTGAGAGATCTCTTCTTCCAGCGTTGGATGGCGGGAAGCCGAATAGACTGTGCAGTCTTGCGCTCAGCTGTCGACTCTCTTCATCCCCAGCTGGCCTCTGCTTTCCTGTACCTGCACGGTCGAACAGAGATGATCGGCACATGAAGGCATCGTGATTCTGGGCAATGCGCTGGAACTGGTTGGTCACTAATTGTTTGTTGTGAGTCACGCCATCTTCATCTAGTGACATCGTGGCGATAAGCTCGTCGACGCATGTCGCGACAAATGTGAACTCTTCTCTCTGCTACTCCTTAGCAAATTTGCCTGTAGATCGAAACTGGAAAGATACCTTGAGGTCGTTGTTGGCAGAATCGAGAATCTTTTGACATCTCACCACCCTCTGCAACGCTCCTGCCCATTCTGGCTCAGGATCAGCCGGTCTTCGGCGTCGAGGGTCGTCCTACCACACCATTAGGCTGCATGAAATGCGGTGAAAGGAAAGGATATCGCATACGAAGTGCTTCAGGTAAAGAGTTTTGTAAAGCCGCTTGTTCTCCTTGATGAATTGGTTGAAGCCTCTAGACGTTTGTGCACATGCCGCGAGATCGTGGGGGTCAATCTCTTCCAGAATTCCGATCAGAACATCATAACACAGATCCAGTAACTCGATCATGACTGCTCTCGCGGAGTAAGAATGCTCAAAGCAGTTGGTAGCGAAGGTGGAAAGCGGAGACAAATCAAGGGTCCAAGTGGTGACGATGTGGGGTCCGGAGATAAGGCCTATCCCCGTATAGTTCGCAGCGGGCTGACGCCACTTTAATAACTCCTCGTTCTCTGAGGATTGCGCGTTACTTGGTGCTTGCTGAGATTCTTGTGTAACATGAGAATGTCTGTGTAACGAAAGGAGACGCCACTGTCTCGAGCGACAGGCTGGACACCTGCAAACGTCACAACGGGCGCTAGCGCAGCTTTTAGTCAGCAGGCAGCCGGAACGCCGAAATCCATCAGTTTCTGCCGACTCTCCAACTGATATTACGCATCATGCAATTTGTCAGGGCGCCGCTAAATTGCACAAGAGAGGACGTAACATCACACGAAAGGAAGACATGTTGAACATGAAAGCAATGCAATTGGGGTATCTAGATCAAGCAAACTACCACTCTAATCGATCATCACACGTCAACCGTACATCCCACCTGTCGTCTCCCTTCCACACTTCACCACCCTTGTTGTTCTTGGCGACTATCCGCCTAAGATCGCTGATCATACCACCGGGTCCCGAAGCGAACACCTCGGTGCCACCTCGTACAGTACCAGCAACGAACTCTGACACTAGGGTATCTAGGTCAGGCCTTGCTTGGATGTGGTTGAGGCCCAGCTCCGACTTTGCGACACCATGAACTGACAGCGCAGAGGATGCGTCGGCAGATGAAGAGTCAGAGGCGGAGTTGATCTCCTTGGAGCACTCATTGGGCGCGGCCTTTTCTGAGACAGTGAGATCGAGGTTGGCTTCTTCTGCGGCGCGGGTGACGTAGATGTGAATACCGGTTCGTAGATTCCGGCACTTGCGCTTGAGGGTAGCGAGTTCGGGACCGACCCAGTCGATGTCGCTCCTTCGGCGTATGCTCCAGATGAGCGTCATGTGGCGGTCGGGTGATTGTGGGCTGGAAGCGAGGTCAAGGAGTACGGGAAGGACGTAAGCGATACCGGTGCCGCCAGCGATGCAGAGGATGTTGGAGTTGGCAGCGAGACCACGCATGGTACGCTCGCCGTAGGGTCCGGTCATGACTACAGAGAGGCGGGCATCGGCCATCAAGCTTTCGTGCGATTCTCGGTGGCTTGACATGTTCGCAATGCGCTTCATTGACAGGTCGGCAATCTTCTTCGTCTCTCCGCCCCTTGCGCGGAAAATGTACGAGTGGCGCTGGGAGTCAGCACCGTAGACCGGGCGGCTGATTGGTGTAAATGGGTGGGACTGCCAGATGGAGCTATCCGGGAATGTGAGGTAGAAGTGCTGGCCGACTGCCCAGGCATCCTGAGGGTGGTCAAAGTCTAGACGCACGACATCGCCGTTGACATCGTCCTTAAAAAGCGCAATATTTGCAGAAGCGGCACGGAAGCCCATGTGTCCAGAGGGCAGGAAGTTGTAGTGAAGTAGGGCTGATCTAGCAAGTCGGATAGCGCGGTCGATGAACCAGACCAGAAGTCCGGGGAGGAGGAAGACCTTGAGCTGCGCCCAGTGTCCCCAGCAGGCTCCAATGTACACCATAGCGAGGACGTAGTGGGCCTTGCGGAAGAATTCGTAGCCGGTGAGACGGATACCCCAGGGAGTCGAGAGCAGAACAAGAAGAGTCAGGAGAAGCATTGCGACTACTCCCCAGATCATGTACTCTTGCACGATCCATTCCGCGGCGACGGTTGGCTGGGGCTGATAGAGACGGATCTCGATGACGCACCAGCCGATGGTGTGAAGAGCGGACTGGGCGAAGATGATGTATCCCAACCAGCGATGGAGGAAGTTGAAGCTCTGGTACGGCAGGCCAGTGACGAGCGACAAGATGGATTCGCGTGTCGAGAGCATAACGGAGAGAGGTGTGAGGGCGTATGCGATGACACCGATACGGTCGGACCATGGTCCGAGACTGGTACGGGTGTTGTAGACGCCGGGGAGCTTCTTGACGGGCGTGACCCATTTCTTGTAGACAATGCCGATGAAGGTGAAGATGGTCAGGTAGCCGGTCAGGACAACGAGGGTCAAGACCTGGGTGCGGGTCACCCGTCCGAAGATTGGTCGTGCGGCATCAGGGAGAAGATATCGTCGTGCGTATGATGGAATCGCCCGTTGCAGTCTTTCGAATGCGCTGCGCCTCTGCGGTACTCCTTCTCCTACTTCTTTTGGTAGTTGCACGCCGGATGGTTGTGAGCGCGCAAAGTGTCGGCCAACAGCCCACACCAACAGAATGGCGCCAATCGTGGCCCATATGATGCCGCTGTAGTACATGCCAAGGTCATGACTGCGATAGACAACGTCGAGGTACTCGCAGGAGCCAGGGTCGCTGGTGCAGGGCACGAGGCGATCTGCGTAGCCCCAATGCGGCTCGACAGCGCTCGCCTCGGAGTAGTTCTGGATGTGCGCACGCGCGACGAGCATGTCAGCGGCCATGGTCAAGGCAAGAATTGGAGATGCGATGCGTGCTGCATGTCTCGAGGTGGAGTGCGCCGCATATCTATATGACCTATCGCCGGCGGAGCATTGCACACCGGAAACGTGGTGAGCACGTTTCGTAAAAACACGGGCCAAGGCTTCGAGAAGTGGGCGGCGACGCTTAGGCGGGTCTTTGGGCGGTTCCCGCTCTCTTGGGGCGATCAAAGTGGCTAGTGCGAGTGTGTTTGAGCAAGTTCCCCCATAATTCGCGGCGCGATTGCCGGCTTGCTTGCTCGGGCCAGACTGTCGTGAGACGGCATCTCGTTCCTACATATCATGGCGGCGCATCTGCAATCGCAGGGTCTGGTCCGACGTCTGCTATATCATTTTGACAGTCCTCTTCCGTGGTTCAGCCTCTGACACCTATCCATCCAAACTTCGCAGCCCAAGAACATTATCGCCAGCATGCACGGAATGACAGGAATGGCGGGCATGGAGCCCAACAGCACTTGCGTGACAGAGGTTAGTAGTCCGTTCTAACTGGTATGATATCATGACTTACATTCTCTAGATGCTGTGGAATTGGCGTGTCGAAGACGCCTGCTTCCTGTCCGAATCATGGCACGTGACCAACAACGGCATGATGGCCGCAAGCTGCATCGGCGCCGCTCTCTTAGTCGTCTGCCTCGAATTCCTGCGAAGAGTCAGCCACGAATACGATGCTCTACTGCTCCGCCAATTCCAGCGCCAACTCAACGCTCAACGGGCGGCTCTCGCTGCTGCGACACCCACCAACTGCTGCGACGGCCCCACCTCGACTCTCGGTCTCCAACATGCTACCTTTCGCGCCACAGCCCTTCAACAACTTGTTCGCGCTTCAATCCACGGCTTGACTCTCGGTCTTGCGTACATCATCATGTTGCTGGTCATGCACTTCAACGGGTACATCTTCATCTCCATCATACTGGGTGCTGTGTTGGGCAAGTTCCTGTGCGACTGGATGGTGGTCAGGATACCATATGGTCAGGTCGATGAGAAGGACACACGGCGCTCCTCTATCGAAGCGGCAGGGCCAACTGGGTGCTGTGCGTAGTGGGCAGCATGAGCTGGTTGCGGCGAACTTTGACGATTAGATACCCTATGATTGCGATATCGCGAATGAATTCTTCTTTCTCTAGAATCTTGCTCTGAAAAGCGTGAGCAGTTGCTTCAATTTCGAAATGCCATGCTAAATGTCCCAACGGCTCATCGAGATTCGCTACGGCACGTACATCGCTCTTGCCGCGGAAATGTGTAAGCGCACCTGCCAGTACATCAGCTGCAGGGAAACCGCGTACAGCAGAATCAACCAATCGGAGACCCTCCGTATACATGATCCACGTGTGTAATTCCGTGGGATGAAGCGCCCGCATTTCCGGATGACAGCCGTGGTGGCAACCAAATACAAGGCCTTCTCGGCCCTACTATTGATACCGCAATAAACTACCTCCTCAAGTCTCGCCCAGTCGTCTTTTTCGTTGAGCACCTTGTGCATCTCGGCCGCTGAGCCCAGGTTAAAGCTAGAAAAGGGTGGGGTTCAGCGGCCCAACATTACCCACGCTCCACAATAGTGTGGATAGAATATCCAAGAGCGTTCTTTTGCGCAAGTTGTGGCTACAGGCCAAGTATTAATGGAGGGCTTGGTCCGGAAGTAGTGTCAAGAAAGCGAACGCCAGGTGGCGAGTGACAAGCTGTCACTTTACAGATGACGTCTTTCTTGGATGAAGAGGTTTCGCGCACATTATGGCCAAGTGTAGAGGGCGGTCGAGGATGTGATCCGTCGATGGTGGCGAAGTCTTAATCAATCTGACTAGGTAGTGACGGTACAACGGGCCTTTGGGCTGCTGAGACACATATCGTCTTATAACCATCTCTGAGGATGCCGCACAAAAAGCAGCTTTGTGAGGTGATGTGATCGCGAGATACATGTACCGTGCGTGGCCCTGAATCCATCAGGGTAATCGCTCGGACTTCAGGCTTTTCTACCACCACATTTGGCGGAGAACCAAAACACTCTACGGTCTACATTGAAGTTAAAACAGAAGTTGTTGATTTGCTAACGTAATGTAGACTGATGTTATTTGCTTTCATTTTTCTATGTGGGTAGGTATTCGATTGTTCATCTGGAAGGCGTGCTACAGCCGTACACTTCTGCCAACAACAGATCGTACTGCATTCTCAGCCTAAAAGAGCTCTGTTGAATAATGTTACAGCTTTCGGTTGCTGCAGAAGACGTCCGGCTTGTCGCAATTCGTGGCAACCAATCCCGATGCTCGTCGCCTTTCTGTTCAAGCAGTACATATTTGGACCTACGAACGCTGTGAACGTCGTCTCTATTGGGGCTCCTAGCGTTGTAGTCAGTGCAAAATTCATGCTCGTGTTACCTGAGTTCGCCATGACGCCTGAACGGGCGGACGGGATCGTACGCAAGATTCGCTTTCCTTTGTCATACGACTGCGTAGTCCGGACTGACCCTCTCCCTATCGGCTTCTGAAGCTGGAGTCCTTAGAGGTGAGCTCTCGGTCGTATCGATGACTGATTATCGAAGACTTCCTCGGTGAATGAGGACGTGAGCGCGCGGCCCTCTCACCTTGCAACTCACCCTCTGTCTTGGCGCAACCATATAGCAGCAGAACAACTCCATTGTGCTTTCGCTTCCTTCCAGACCTTCCAAACCTTCCAAAATCGACATGGCCCGTCCATACATGCACCCTAGACACGTGCAAGATCGACACCTGCAAGACGATACGGTGACTGGGGTCAAGGCTCCGGCAAAGCTGGAGGATCGCGTTCACGGCGAGAGATTGGCAAGAAGGTAAGTTGTCGCCCGAGGAATGGACAAGCTCATAGCGATGGCTAACCTGCTGCAGTATGCGCGATGGAGAAATCGGTGTCATTAGACTTGGGCTCGTATTCGAGGGCACATCATGGTCCATCCACAAAACGTTGATGGAGAGCGAGTGCGAAAACCTCCAGTGGAACGAAGGGCTTGCCAGTGAATACTTCATCGGGTCTGAACATAGCTCCGAGGTAAGTTCTAGCTGTACGAAGTGCAAGTGAGACATATACTGACTTCATACCCCTACCTTTGCAGGCAGTCGACCTGTTCGTTGAGTGGCTATATACCCAGGAGTACTGCGAGAGACAAGGCCTAGCACAAGACTTTGCTGTCCCGAGTTTGCGAACCATTATCCTTCCAGACGGCAAACTCAAAAACCGGAACCTAATGGATTGGGCAATCAAGGCAGCTTTCGCATGCTGGGAACTGGGCGCCAGCTTACGCGCGAAGAACTTCCAGAACTACGCCATGAAGCGTCTCTTCGAAGCCTTCTCTCGACCACTCTCGCAGCTACTGGTGCCGCAGTTACTCCAGCACACATACTTCTTCTGTAAACGATTTCCAAGGGCTTCTTGGCAGCTACAACACCTGATCCAAGATATCATCCTTCGCAACTGGAGTGATGAGACCGTCGTTAATCACAGGGGCGACTGGTATCCGATCATCAACAGTTGCCAGGCCTTCGGCGATACTTTCCATAAGGCGAAGCATCAGGACGTGGTCAAGAGGCGAGAGAAGAAGCTGAGTCTGGCAGACTACCTTATCCACTAGGGTGCCAGAAGTGAGGATCCAGGTGAGGAGAGAATTGAGGAAAGCCAGCGGAACGTAGGGCGCACTCGGTCGGATTGGAGTGATTTGGTGAGAGCTAGCTCTCGAGCAGTTCCTATGATGTCAGCAAACCCAGTATGAGCTTGATTAGAGCCCCTGGTGTAGGAAGTCAGAACCCAAGTGTATCTAGGTATCGACTCCAGCATTAGATTCCAACAGCGTGCGCAACAGAGGGGTGTATTCGAAACATGCTGTGTCGTGTGCAAGTCGACGTAGACATGTACGCAACGTGATGCAAACGACAGGTACGCGACGCGCGCAGGTCCGATTGTCGGCCGCTGACATGACTCGTGCGCACCGAAGTTGTACCTCTGCGCGACCACCGACTGACGACGCCATCGCTCCTCCTCTTTCAGCTCTCCGGCATCACACGGAAAGCATCAGGTTCGGTTCCCAGGCTGATGGATGGGTGGATCTGCGCTCAAGAAAGCCTTGCCTGCTGTCGGGACCCGAGGATGAAGGATTAGCCGCCGTTAGCACGTCTTTCGCACGAGCACGCCAACCGTCAACCCCACCTACGCCAACCTGCCAGACCCTTGATCTCGTTCATAGCAGCAGCGACGATGGGATGCGATTGGACCCCGATGATGTAGGAACGGTATGCCTGCAAGCAAAAGCTTCTCGGATCCCATTTGACCCATTCGTACCTTTCTTCCCGCTTCCTCTACCCACTTCTATCCTTTCCTATCTGTGAGGCCGCCACCACGGTACGAGCAAAGTAGCAGATTCTGCAGAAACCCCGAGCCAGCTCCACCGCAAGCCCGGCGGCTATCGAGCATTGGGAGCACCATCGGCAGGTCCGTAGTCGCAGACTAAGTAGCATCATCTCCCTCGGTACCCCCGCTTTACGAAGGCATGACGGAGCAGAGGGCTCGCAGTGGAGTGGTACAGGCAGGCGTCGTGGCTTGCGGGTTTTGATCAGATAATGATTAGATCGAAAATTTTCATCTGATAACCCACGCGTCACGCCACCGCGCGCTCCCATTGGCCCGAGATGCCGGCTGATTATCGAGATAAGATTTTGGAGGCTGTCTGGGCCGTGCTTGGGAAGGCTTAATTCCGGGGACCCAACTGCATTCAGGAAAGTCAAGCTTCGGTGCATGATGCTAACAGGGAGCGAGCGCGTGATATTCACGACTATTTCCTTGTTCATGGTGAACGTGAACGGAATTCCCCACCCAGCGACGAGGAGCCGGTAACCGGGCGCGTCTCGGAAAGGTCCTGCGGTGGAACTGCGTGGATCTGCGTTTTCGGTATATGAACCTGAGGCGCGCGCGGTACCTTGTCTTATCAATCTCTTCGTCTCGTCTTCATCACAGCCTCTCTTTTGGTGTGCTTTTACACCTATCGCCAAGATGGGTTTCACTTTCAAGGGATTGACTACCAGTGCATTGGTCTCTGGTAACAGCAAAAATGCCGATGCCAATGAGAAAGACATTGCCGACGTGCCTGCTTCCTACCAGGGTCACACCAGCATGGATGCCGCTCGCCCTGACGAAAAGGTCGGCAGCCCAAGGGAGTCGGCCAGGAGTCGAGAATCGGATGAGGAACTGAACAAAGTCGACACCACCGCGGAGGCAGGTGTTCAGCATGTCCAAGCAGCCTCGCTCCTGTGGAAGAAGCGAGATCTGATTCTCGCGTACATTGCGTAAGTCACTCCCTCCACACTGCTGCAGAACTACACTAACGACAACAGCATGTGGTTCATCCAGTTCTTCACTGCCTACGCATCCAGCACCTCAAGCACCCTCGCGCCCTACGTTACCAGTGACTTCCAGCTTCACTCCTTGACCGCCCTGACCAGCGTCATCTCTTCCATCGTCGGCGGTATCTGGAAGCTCCCGTATGCCAAGATCCTCAACATCTGGGGCCGACCATTCGGCCTCGGCCTGGGTGTTGCCATTTACGTCCTCGGTCTCATCCTGATGGCAAGCTGCAACAATGTCAAGGCCTACTGCGCGGCGCAGACCTTCTTTTACGTTGGCTCCAACAGTATCGACTTCTTCATCACGGTCTTCATCGCCGATACGTCCAAGTTAAGGAACCGAGCGCTGTTCATCGGATATGCGTCCTCTCCATGGCTCATCACCACCTGGATCTACGGGTACGGTATCAACAGCATCACAGCCCCTGGCGGCATCGGCTGGCGATGGACTTTCGGTATCTTCGCCATTATCGCGCCTATTGTCACCTCACCGCTCATGCTTCTGTTCATCATCTACGAGGGCAAGGCAAAGAAAGAGGGTCTTATCACGCCCCGCCCCAGCCGCGGTAACTTTGCTCAAACACTCAAGTACTACCTCCGCGAATTCGATGCCGTTGGTCTTCTGCTCCTCGCCGCTGGATTATCCCTCTTCCTTCTCGCCTTCAACATCTACTCCTACCAGGCCAAGCAATGGGCGTCACCCCTAATCATCTGCTTCCTCGTATTCGGCGCCCTCCTCGTCGTTGCATTCGGCCTGTGGGAGAAGTACGGCGCACCCGTCACCTTCATCCCATGGCCGCTGCTCAAGAACCGAACCGTCATCTTCACCTACACCATGGCCGGTTCTTTGTACATCGGCTGGTACTGCTGGGACTCGTACTTCTACTCGCTTCTTGTCGTGTTGTTCGACCAGAGCCCTGTGCACGCTACTTGGATCGCCAACATCTACACCATGGGCAGCTGCTTCTGCTCCATCGTTTACGGACTCGTACTGCGATATTACGGAAAGCTCAAGATCTACTCGCTTTTCTTGGGTGTGCCGCTTACCATGCTCGGAGTTGGCCTCATGATCAAGTTCCGCCAGCCTGACGAGAACATTGGTTACATTGTCATGTGCATGATCTTTATTGCCTTCGGTGGTGGCATTTTGGTCATTTCTGAGCAGACCACTCTGATGGCTGTGTCTAAACAGCAAGACTTCCCTGCGCTCTTGGCCGTCGAGTCTATGATTATCTCCATCGGAAGCGCTATCGGCTCTACTGTTGCGGGCGCCATCTGGACCGGCGTTTTCCCTGCTCGTCTTATGGCGAACCTACCTGAGAGCGCCATGGACAACTTCGCTGCTATCTACGGCGACTTCAATGTTCAGGACAGCTACCCTGTCGGCAGTCCGACTCGCGATGCTATCAACCTCAGCTACGGTCAGACACAGAGGTACATGCTTATCTCGGCTGTCTGCGTCTACTGCATCACGCTTTTCAGTGTTTGCTTCTGGCAGAACGTCGATGTCAGGACCATGAAGCAGAGGACCATTGGTCTTTTGTAGATTCGCTGTTTTCGATATTGTTTCGAATGCGTTGCATTGGCTGCGTCGTTTTCTGTTGATAGTTGTTGCATTTACTTGCAAAAGGCTTGGGAACGCCAGTATATCTTGCATGTCATGATGATAATGGCTTCATAGTAATGAAAGAGTAATGTTCAAATTCCAATCAAGACTTGTGATGAACACCATGTACGCCGTGTGTATATGCTTGTTGTATGCTTCCTTAACTCCTTAGCTCGTCTGTTGAATAACTAAACCATTATGCTTGTGATACAAGCTCTCGGAATGGAATGTAGGGTATGACGCTGAAAGATCACGCAAACGATCTACAAAAAGAAAGCCACGCCCAAAGCCAACCCCGACATATAGCCAAGGGTAGCAGTCAATGAACCGGCAGCACCCGTAGCAGTAGCCGCTGCAACCTTCGTCGCATCGTCAGTTGTCGTCGCAACAGGTGAAGGGGTAGCGGATCCAGATGGGGTGGCTTGAGGTTTCGCGGGTACACTTGTCGAAGAGGCAGACTGGCTGATTACGGGCTTGCTGGGTTTCGCACTCACATCACCACCTGACTTGGCCATGCCGGATACCCACTTGATCACCTCCTCGTTGTGCATGAAGAAATAGTTCAGGTGCTCGTTTGTGTCTGGGGGCGAGGATCCAACGGCGCAGATTGGGTCGCCGTAGTGGCAGTAGTCGAGGAGGACGTCGGCGTAGGCGTTTAGTCCTTCGAGGTGTTCTGGGCTGCGCGCACTGGTTCCGTCGTAGTCTACGCCGCGGCCGACGGTGAAGTTCTGGTCACGGGAACGGACGACCGCGCCAAATGTTACTGCTGCGACGACTAAAGCGGATGAGTTAGTAAACCGGTGTAGAGCGTGACTTCTTTACACGTGCGTACGTACCATTGGAACCGATTGAAGCATCCAGAGCTGGGTTCATGTCTTGCTCACATGCAAAGACTAAACCTCCTCCTCCACCAAGCATGTCCTGTGCCACGGATGCACCCTGCGAGAAACCCAACACAATCAACTTGCTGTCCGGACACTTTTCGCTGTACGTCTTCATCTGTTCCTGTCCGTTCTTGGCACCCTTGCTCGCTGATTCACACCACGCGGTTGCTCCCCATGCTGAGCTCTTTGCAGGATACTCGACATCCTCGTAACCGCATTCTGATGATCCTCCAATCGCTGCGCAGATCTTCGAGGTAAGGTTACCTAGGCGGCCAGGGTAGGGCTCGTCGGAGCCTCGTGCGACAAAAACGTGGAAAGGTTTGCAGTCGTCCGCGTGGTAGGCAAGGATTTCCGTCGAGTTGCAGTAAATGCCTGGCGAAGGCGCGTCGCAGCGTTCTTGGGCGAGCACGAGGCTGGCGCCGACGGTGATGGCGAGGAGGGGAAGTTGTGAGACCCTCATATTAGCGTAATTACAAAGTTCGGTATAACGAGTGACTAATGTAGGTAGCCGCGAAAAGAAAGGTAAACTGAGCGTCCTGTCCCCAAGAACGCGCGATTAGTAGTAAGCAGTGAAAACCCCGGAAGCAGCTTCGACAAAGGCAGGGCAGACGGGAGATATACACGACACCAAGCGGGCACCTGGGGCAGCCCTGAGAAACCTGATACTACGAGGATCAAGAAGTCCCAGGCGATCGGCGCCCATGATGTGAGGGCACGGCCCCCACAGATGGCATGCATGGGCTACAGC